ATTTGTAGCGATCAAGTGATGTTATTATTAAAGTAAAGCTATATTTACTAATTATAAATGGAAAAGCTTACTATAATTCAACGACCCCAGTATTTTCAAAGGAATTTTTATTTTATTTAGATTATTTTTTTAAACGTGTCGATTTTTGTAAATATGGACGTCCATACACGACATTATCAGACAATAGGAAAGGTACCAATAATAAATTAAATATTTCTTGGTAATTTTCTAACATTTTCTCAACTATCGTTTTGGTATATAGAGCTAAAATTCATTAAAATATTAGATTGATTAAATTATTTTCTTAAATTTTAAAGATTTCTGTGTTGTTAAAAAAATATATATGGAAAAAGTCAATCTCGTTGTATTAGTGAAGTAATTTCTTTCAGTTCTATCGGCCTTACTTGAATTTCCCAAACATCAGAATGTCAATAAACTCAACATGTCAGAAAACACTTCCCGCATTGAAAAAATGCTAATCTACGATATTTTAAACTAAAAGTAATGTTTGTTTGAATTCAGATTAATTAAACTTTAAGTTAGTTAATTTTCCTCAAATAACATTTTAGAAAAGTATATTTCTTTCTGAAAGATTTTTTTTCAATAAAGAGAATTATTTTTGTGTTTTGCGTCAATATAAACGAATTTATAGATTTTACTGCTAAGTAGAGAAAAAAAGGATTCCAATCAATTTAAACTTGGTTTGAAATGCACCAAAGTAATTTGCTAATTGGGAATATTAAATTTAATCTGTGGGAAATTCGGTCGAACGTTCGAAATTCAAAAAGTAAAATAAAAATAAAGTAAACATAGTTATGCCTGTTAGATAAATAATTTGTATTTACAAACATATGTACATGAATTCAAAACAGTCAAAAAAGAGTTTAAAAAAATAGTCTTTAGTTGAGTTAGTCTTTGGATAATTGGTCCACAGAAAATAACTACAGTTTAGAAAAAAAAAAAACTTTTATCGTCAGCGAAGATTCACTGAGTGTGATACTATTTGTCGTTGCCACGGTAAAATGGAAGAAAGTTTTGTTAAAATATAAGAAAGTGTCATGTACTAAGAGACATTGAAACGAGAAGCGTTAATACCAAAAATCCGTGGAAAGAAATGAGGATATAATTCGCACATAAACGACTTGAATTGTATGTCAAGCAGTTTGAACAATGGAAAAGTGACCCAGATTTAGGGGGCAATGTTGCTTGACACACAGCTGCAAATGCGGGCTGGAAAGCGAAAAAGTAGATTTTTTAAACAACTGAATTTGAAACTGAGTTTACCTAGACGGAAATGGTCCAGGTAGTAGGAGCAGATAAAGGAGGATGGAGGAACCACTCACGCTCACTGAAGAGGTTGGTGAGAAAGGATAATAAAAGAGAGGGTGAGGAGAGGGAATTCTCCAAAGTTATGACGTAAGCCAGAGGGGATTTACGGAAATGCTCCTACCTCGCTGTATCCCCATGCCAGTTAGGGCGAATGTCCATAAATACGAATGCGTGAAGCGAATTAGGCAGAAAAGAGAAGAGAGGCAGAAGAGACGGAGACGAGACCAGATAGGAGAGAGGCCTACGTGATTATCAGCCGACAAAAGCCTCCGACTTCAGACAAACTTACCAAATCAGCAAAATAAATTTTACCAAGTCAACAACGATTATATTACTTCCGATTTAGACGCGGGTTTGGCTGATAATTAGTTGGATGTGAACTCTGATATAACCGATTATTGTAAGAAGGACTGCTATAAAAGTATTTACTTTTGTTCAATTTATTCGAGTGATTTTTCCCCTGTACGTCTTCGTCTTGCTTGGACCAGTCCATCACGGAGACGGAGGCACATGCGACGATTCGATTTTGGCCTCCTTATGATCAAACTTAAATAACAACGTGGGATAAGGCAGGTCTGCGATCGAAGCGATCTTCATCGATCAGCCGCGGTGTTGGAAGTCTTGGACGACCAGGGAGAGTGTTGCACGATTACAGAGGGTCTGAGTTGTTGTCGGAGATGATTCGTTTCAAGATGCCGACACATGAACGTCAGTGAAGATTCACTGACTTTCGCTGCTATTGTTGTTGGAGATGATTCGTTTGAAGTTGCCAACATATGTTTCTTTCAGCATGCGTTGAGAGTAAGGAAAAAGCTATGTAGCCACGTCTTAGGGAAATTCGTATCTCTGCTGCCTAAAATCGATATCTATAGGTTTTCACAAGAAAATTTCCCGAAAGTAGGCTCGAGGAAAATAGGTTTTTAGTTTTCTCTGATTGGTCAAATATTTCACATTGTGATGTTAATAGACGCTTCGTTTTAAACGATGTGTGCTGAATTATGGAATCTTTTTGGCATATTTGCAAATATTGTATGTTATTGCGTAGAAAATAAAGTTTTAATATGGTATGAATGTGGATATGTAATTGTGTCGAAACTAGGATTTATTTCCTATAAATTTATTAGCTAGGAATTAGAACTAAAATTAAAGCTTCAAGTAAGATGTTTCTGTTTCTTAAGATGCATTTTAAACTTAGGTATTTCTTTTTTATGTACCTACTTTTGTAGTTAAGTGTGGTCGTCACTGGGTGTTGACCATTTGTGGCCTTGTATCAGGTTAAGAACAATTTTGTGTACTTTGTTGGTAACTTTCATTACTACTATTTATTTCCTTGGACCAGCCTAGCAGGGAGATGTCAAATGAATATTAGGCTCGAATCCCAGTGGGCCATCCTGACCCAGGTTGTACCTCTCCTTTGAAAGGTGAGTTGTCTCTGTGGGGTCAGTCTACTCAGATTTTAGGTGGAAAAATAAAATCTGTGTGCCATGTCCACAAATTACAATACAAAATTATAAACAACGCGAAGAAACGGTCTTCGCAGAAAAGGAAGACCAAATTAATTATGACAATAACATTTATACAGTATATACATGTATTTACATATTAGAATTCAATTGACTTTGTTGTGGCCATGAAGAGACCTGTAGTTTGATTATTCAAAGTGATTTGTTGAAAGTGAGTCTGCAAAGTTCGAAATGATATGTACGCCAATAATATATATATATATATATATATATGTATGTGTGTGTGTGTGTGTGTGTGTGTGTGTGTGTGTGTGTGTGTGTGAAGTACACGCCATCGAAACGTGTTTGAGCACTGACTGGTTGTATGCGATAGCAGTGATTTCAAAACACAGCGAATAAACAGAAGGGGATCTAGAACATACTTTTGTCACGGCTTTGTATATAGAAAGATCATCGCTGACTAGCGCGTTGTCAAGGTAACGTGTGTCGAGGCTGAGCTGGTTTACTAACTGTTCTGTTTTGCAGATCTGTCCGTTGACTGTCCTGTTTCAGATCTGGTCACTGACTGTCCTGACAAGCCGTTTTTGTCGTTTGGAGGTCGGCTCCGAATCGTTGAGTTCTGCGCGGGCATGTATTTGGTAACCCTTTACCCTAACCAATTTCTAGGTCATTTGGAGTTCAACCGCGCAGACGTCGTAGAGAGCACATCACAGGAATTGTCATATCAGGTTCCAGAAACCACTTATTTAATTTTGGAGCTGTGTTTGTATAGAATTGTAAAAGTTTTTCGTTTCTACTTAATTTAGTGAAATTTATTCGAAGGCGTCTCTTGTTTGTGCTTCACTTATTGGCCGTAAAATAAAAGAATTTATATCTTATATCCCAAAAGTGTAAGTGCCGCGGGAATCTGTACGATTTTTGAACGGCTATCGAAATCCCACCTTGTGTCACAATCTGTGCGAAGGGACGCATGAGCAAATACCTATGTAGGATTGAGAAGTTCTCGGTAGGGTTCTCGTTTGGGTTGAAGGACGTGTCCCACATCAAGTGATGCGGGACATATTTTTGTTTTGCCGTTTGAGAATCGACGATTCTTTTAAACAATTGCGTGTGAATTTAGCTTTGTCGGAGTTAGCTCCTCCTCAGCTCCTTAACCCTTCACCAGGGGTCTCTCTCCCCTGGCTATAAATACTGGCTGACCCTTCGCCTTTTCCCCTTTTTTCCTCAAACGTTTAGCCTTATACCACCTCGCAGATGTGAGCTCTCACAGATACAGCGTTTCCCAAATGCTGGGAACACGCTAAGGACAATACACGTACGTACAAACACTCACCACAACACACACACATAATATTCACCACACGCACTCTGTCCATGTGCTTGTAACCTTTAACTTGTTATTAATACATATATTTGTTTACATATATTTATCGGTCTTGTTTGTTTTCTTTGGACTTAATTAAAATCCAACTTTCTCATGTAGTTGGACCGGCGAGCAGGAATTTTTAACCCACGTGTGTTTTACATACTCATCGCCAACACGGTCCTCTACAGCTTTTTTGTTTAAAAAAAAATGTATTTTAAACACAAAGGCTGGAATATATGCGAAACATTGTCTGTCTGAATGCCTCCCCTCTCTCTTCCCTTCTCTTTTTACTTTCACAAATTCCAATTAATTTAGCTTTATAGATCCGTAGACACTTGGTTAGGAATCTTTCATTAAGGGAGTCCGCGGACTCCATGGTTTGAAAACCTGTCCCTAGGTTTCCGCCGATCCCTTGGCTAGGAAACCCCAGCCCATGTCCCTCAGTTTTTTGGGGGTTTTTTTTTATTTTGGGGAGTTAGCAACTTTAGTTCTCAGTTCAACCCATCTTCAAAACCTAACAAAATGACAAAACAAAATTTATTTATTATATTTTTTTTTACAATGGTCGGGCCGAAAACTTTTCAGCACTCCATCGTATAATCTCACTTTTTCATTTTTTATTAAATTAGAAAATCACTTTAGTTTAGTCTAGTATGAAAATAATTTTTAAATGAACAAGTTATGACGTTTTAATTTTCTTTGCACAGTGACTCATATCTCGAACACTACTGTGCTTACATCGGCTATGCTGTAGAACATTACACAAGCATTGCGATGCTCCGAGCGATCGGAGAATTTCGTCTCGCGTTAAGTAAACGTGAAACAACGAGACAATAACAAAAATGGCGCGGTTGAGGATAAACTACGAACGCGAAACCAAACAACTGATAAAATCAGTCACTGATATTCAGGTATATATTATGTTCGATTATTCAGGTTTTTGCACGGTGAAACTCGATTATTGGCATTATCAAAACCACGACTTTTTAGCATGGAAAACTTTTTTATTTTAAAACGTCTATGAGAAACCACCAACTGTTTTTTGTTTTTTTTATGGAAAGTTTCGATTAAAAAAAAAACAAAAAAACATTGAATAAACAACATGAAACTTTCACTCATTCTAATACTAAATCTTTTCTATGTACCTGTTCAGTGATGCTCAGTGTCAGCATTCCTTATAAAAAAAATAGGTTGTTAGGGCTCTCACGGTAAGACCCGCTAGATGAAAACTCAAATTAAGATACAGTGTAACCCGGATATAAGAGAGTTGTCGGGACCGGAGAAGAAGTCTCTTATAACCATTCACTCGAAGGAAACTATGATTTAACTCATACTGTAAAAAAAAAGGGTTCTATTTAATTTTTGGTTTCTTAGCTCGCTCACGTCGATACTGAATGTGACACAAGAAGAGCAAGGTTTAAAAGTACGTTTACCGACAACAATTTGGTACTGCCCCCCACTTTTGGGGACGCCTCAGGCGCCGGGTAACCCTCCCGAAGGTGAGGTAAATGCCTGAGGAGATGTCCCCACCCTCCCGAGGCTGGAACTTTAATTTCCAACTACCGGACACCCACCTGATGCCAGGGAATTAAAAAAGTAAAAAAAATGGTTCTATTCAATTTCGGGGGAAAAAAGAGCCGATTTCATATGTTAATATTAATAATAATAATATATTTCAGATTGAAGTTGTTTTTGTTGTGTGTGTTTTTTTTTTTTGTTTTTTTTTTTAAATCAATTTAAATTACAATACATCAGTAGAATTAAATAAAAATCTTATTTGGACTGTTGTTTGAATTCACCTTTTTTTCAGTGAATTCAATTCAAAAAGTTTCATTTTAGCAGTGTATGACTACTTTTCTTGTTTGAACAAAAGTTTTCTTTTTTTGTTATTTAACTTCTTTTTTTTTATGTATGGCACAAAAGAATTTTTAGCACTACTTAAATTAACTGGTCCACTCATTAAGAAAATAATAAATAATATGGAAAATTTATTTTGGAAATATTTTTTGTTTTGTAGATTAGCATTCTTTAAAGTTTAGAAACGTTTCTTAGGCCACCATAATTGTCAGAATCGAAAACTATTGATTTGTTTTTTTGTGTGTTTTTTTTTTTTTTTTTTAATCCCTTTAGAAAGGTGGTGTCGTAAATTAAAGTAACGAATAAGGTTTCAAATCGATCTATGACTTTTAGTTTTACAGAGTTATTGGATCTAGTTGTTTTTTGCAGGTGCTTACAAGAAATATTTCTTTTTTTAAATAAAGAACAAAATGGATATATCGATTTTTTTTTTTTTTTTTTTTTTTTTTTTAAAGAACAAAAATTTACATAACTTACTAAAAGTATGCATCCTTATTCTTCATTTAATATAAAGAATTAATTGACCTCAAATGTTTCTGCATGTGCTTCTGAAAAAAAATTTTTTTTTTTTTTTTTTAAATCTTTTTAAAACTGCTAAAAAATGTGTTTCTCCTCTTAGTGTCATGAGACACATTGTATGTCATGGTCGTTTTTTTTTCTTTTTTTTTTTCTTTCAATAAAAACAGTTTGGCAAATAAAGCATAATAAAATAACTCATTGAAAGTTTTAATTGTTGGTTACTAAAATAAAAATTGTGGAATGGACAGAAATATGTCTGAGACAATGCAATATAAGACTTACCACAAGGCACATATTAAATCTATAAAAAGCTTTAAAAACATATTTTTGATAACTGGGGCTTGTTACTTTTAACAACTTCAAAATTAAACTGCCTTGCATCAGCTATGGCTGATGCTAACCCCCAGGAAAGTGACTCCTTGCACCTTCATGGGCTCACATTTTTAGCTGACATGAAGTGGAAAGACAAATATTTTTTTATTGTAAAATGACCAGCAATACAATTTTATAGAATTACCAACAATACATTTTATAGCAAAATGACTGCAATACACTTTATCTGTAGTTGAAAGCATACAATTACATTCAAAATATATTTAGTTGAAGCCATAAAATTGTATTCAAAATATTTAGATTTCAGCATTAAATAGCCCATAGAGGTTGATATGCCACCAAACAAAATCAACCAAACAACCAGCATAAAAGAACTCTTTTATAGCCTTAATCCATATAATACCCTACAAATTCTTAAATTAAACTGTATTCTGAAATATAACTTCAACAATACTACAACATAAAACACGTATCAATAATTATGTCAGATACAAAACATGTATATGTACAAAAGCTGAGTATCATCTACCATGTATTCAGTTGTGAAAGCAGAATATCATATATCATTTTTGTTATTCAAAGCTCCCAAGAAAATTAAGTTTTGGCATTAAATAATCCAGTTGATATGCCTCAAAAAACAAATCATTAAAACACTTTAAAAAAAAAAAAAAAAAAAAATAGGGAAAATTCTTTTTGGAAATAATTCTTGTAGATTAACATTCTTCAGATATTCCTTAGGGTGCAATGCTTGTTGGAATTGGAAAATATTGATTTTTTTTTTTGATTTTTTGATTTTTTTTTTTTTGATACCCTGTAATATTGACCACTGACGTTTTACAGAGTTATTGGACTTGTCTGTTCCGCATATGAAAACACATTTGTTTTATAAAAAAAAAAAAAATTTCTTTTTATATAAAGAAAAAAGAGATATATACATTTTTTTTTTTATTAAAGAACATTTGCATAAATTTATAAAAGTATTTTTCATTTGAGATATGTTTAAATGCTATTCCAGTCATCATCTTCTGTTTTCATAATTCTTGATCTTTTATTGCCTAACAGCCATATCATGTTGAAACACCAGTTCTCATACAATCACCAAATTTAAGCAACATTGAGCCTGGTCAGTATCTAGATGGGTGACCACTTGGGTATATCAGCTAGATGTGCTGGTGCTGTAATAGAAATGGTTCATAATTCTTAATCAGAGAACCAAGTTGTAATATTAGTTATGATTGTTATATTAACTTAGGTGCAAATACCCTTGGGAAAAGTATGAATCCATCATTTTACCCCCAGCTATGAGTTGATTAGTAAAACTTGTATCACTATATCAGTAAAAAATTCCTACAATCTAAAAATATTTTCTGGCTTAAAAAAAAAACTGCAAAATCAGTTCATCAATGTTCTTTTATTGTTCTCTGTCCTTTGTTTTTTCTCATATTATCTCTCTCAGTCACACTTTGTGTCTTAGTAGCTTTATTGTCTTGTTTGGGGTGAAATGATTAAAAAAATGTAAGATATCCCTAAACATTTGTGCATGTGCTTCCAAAAATAATACTCCTTATCTCCTCAAAATTTTTTTTTTTTTTTTTAATTCAGAAAATTAAAAATATAAATGTGATAAATACCATGCCTTGTAGATGGTTTAATGAATGCTAATCTACAAAAAGTATTCCCTGAAAAAAATTTCCCTATCCTTATGAATGGATCTGTCAATTCAAGTCAGGAATCGATTTGACACTCTACTGAACCCCTACTTTTAAAGTGATTTTAAAAAAAAAAAAAAATCAGTATTTCTTGAATCTAACAAATGCCATGCCTTTTGGAAGGTCTTAATGAATGCTAATCTACAAAAAGCATTCCCTGAAAAAATTTTCCCTATTTTTTGAATGGACCAGTCTGTTTAAGTAGTGCCCTTTGAACTGTGTCTACTATGCAATTCTAAATACATCAGAGACATTGGAGATTTTTTTACTTGAATGGAAGAAAGATATTCTTAGCTTCATGTATGAAATCTTTCTGTTTTTCTTTTCTTTCTTTTTTTTCTTCTTTTTTTTTGTTGTTTTTTAATGTTGTTAACCTTAAACTGCTTGATTCCTTACTATATGACATATTACCTTTGCATTTTTCTCTCTTCTATTTTAGGATGAAGGATGCATGGACTTCAAGACTTGCTATAGCTTTGCTGTCTCCAACTTCAAGTACCATCGTTTCTTGTCTGTTGATTCACACAATGTGAATCGGACTATCAAAGGGTAAATTGCCAAAGTCCTTTCTTCTGAGAGTGCCAGGTTTTGATTGAATCTTTGCACCATAACAAACAAATATTTCAAAGACGATCACATATTGGTTCTTATTGACATCTTCTTTTAGAATTATTCCATATTGCATCTAATTTAATAATATTGACCTCAAAGTATTTTCCCAGTGCTTTTATTAGTTTTGTATGCGTAATATTGTGACATTTTTATTTTTACATTCATTATAAATACTGTAAATTGATTTGTGGAGATAATTTTATAATTCTGAGCATTTGAAATTTGCGATGTATCAATTTCATACTGCTATGACAAATCTACTCACATTGTAAATATGAGAGATATCATATAAAAATATGAGAGATATCATATATAAAAAATATATGTGCCAGAGTAATAGTGGGTAAATGAAAGACAAGACGGAGGAATTGTTAGCAATGCATTTCATCCCAAGAAGCGTGTCTGATTATGCTCCTTTCAGAATGGAACGAAACGTGTCACTAATAAGTTTTTACTTCATGTCACTCATTTACCTACATCTCTATATCTATGTATTTGGTATATTTGAGTAGAAATTGTTTTTTAAAACATTGTTAAAAATGTGAGACATTTTACATCTTACATCTATTTAATGCTATTTTTTTATTATATATTTTTTTAATTTATGAAAATCATTTTGCAAATGTGGTTGTTGTGTGGTCAATTGGCTAAAACCCAGGCTGTCTAGTCCCAAGCTTTCAACTCATATGAGTTCTCATTAGAGTGGAAGGGAATTAAGTGTGTGTGTGTGTTTTTTTTTTTTTTTTGGGGGTTCTGTCATTCTCTATGTGACTTTATTTGCTGTGCAAAAAGTTTATCCTGTCACTGAAGGTGACTCTGATCCCTGAATTGAATTTCATAGTTGTGTTGTCATATCTTTCTATGGCAACTGAAAACTCCTTTGAGTGAAATTAACAGTAAGGTCATTACAATTGAGAAGCCTTAAAAAAGAATGTAATGGAAAAAGGAAGAAATATTAATAGTGCAAGTCACAAAGTTGATTGTTCATTTTTTTTCCATGTCATAACAAGTTTGCAATAATTTTTTTATATATATATATATATATATACTTCAAGAATATGGCCTCTCAATCAATATTTATTTTTATTTATGAATAGTTGCTTAAATTGGATATAAATAGTTTCTATTCTATCTTGGATCTTTTTAACAATTAGAATTATAAAGTATTATTAAAAAGCAGATGCTTCATATTATTCTAAATCTTGTGGTGCTTGTTGATATGTTATCTAATGGCATATTAATCAATAATTTATCTTTATTTATCTCTGTCTAATATATATATAAGTAGATGGGTGGGTGATATAATGTATAATGGTTCAGAATGAAAAATTTAAAAGTTAAGTTCATTACCTTCAACTATGCACTTCTCTATATCTTTTTCTATGAATACTTTCATTATAATTGAACCTTCCTCTATAGTACTATTTTGTTTAGTTTGCTGTATATAAATTGTAATCATTGACAATATTCATTGGGGTTTCATTTTTAAATGTAATTTTCATTCCCCACCACTGCATAAATTGTACATCTGGGAACTAGTTAAGACTTCATAGAGACTTTGAGGTATTATGGTGGTTGTAGTAAGAATGTGTATACTGTGGAGTACTGTGGGATGTTTGGTTCAGTAATTGTGGCATGTTTAAGACAGATTGAAGACCAGCCTTCCCTCATCTCCCTTTTGGCCTTGTGCCACATTTTTGTATTTGCAAAATAAATATTACTCTCCTCTATAGTACTTAGACTTTATGAATTTAAGTGCACTGTGAGACTGGCGTCAAGATCTCATCAATTTACATTTGAATTGGTTAGATGTAGCCATAAGTTCTATGCTAACAGTTTCTTTTCTCGCACTTCTCGCTTGTGGAACTCTCTTCCAGTTCCATGCTTATCAGCCAACATTGATCTTCAAAAATTTAAATACAGTATCAATTGATGTTTACTGACTTCTTGATTCTACTTTTTATTGTTCTCACTCCTTAATTTTTTCTTATTCTTTCATACGATATGTTTCTCCCAGCTATAGATAAATAGTAAAACGTAATCTTGGTTGGCAACTGATGTAGGAGAAGGAAAACTCTGAATTCAAACCAACCTTTAGAAGATTAACAAGGGCAGTTGAGCTTCTTATAGGAGCCAACATGCAGGTAAGGGATAAAAAAATTCTTACCCCCCCCCCCCCAAAAAAAATGCCTACAATTGTAGCATCATCAGACATGTGACCTACAGTGCACCAGTACAGGACTTTATTGCCATGAGGGAGAGCATGTGCATTGCCGGGTACAAGCAGTTGACCACATCAAACAATTTACTTAGAAAAACTTAGAATTTACTGAACCCTCATACATTGTTCTCATTGGGAGGATCCATGCATATATATTTATTAGGAGTAAATAGGATCATCTATTAGCCAGTCACACTCCTATGTATCATTTGAACAGAATTACAGGTTTACCTAGTTTCCTATTCCTTCAAAATTCTTCTCATTTTCTTTTGCTCCTAGTAGCCCCTTGTGCCTTAGTAGCATTATTGCCTTGCTTATATATATGTGTGTGTGTGTGTGTGTGTATATGTGTATGTGTGAGGGTCAAACAGCTCAATTCCTAGGAACCAACAACCAGACACCAACACACATGATTTGATTGTAGTGGTGAAGGCTTTGTGCAGAACCAACCACACTTTTTGAAGGGCCAACTACAGAAACCTGGTGCACTACATATTGCAAGGTCCCCAAATGGCCCTCCGCAGGTTTTGAATTCATGGTTGTCCTTCTCCTAGACCAGCTGCTATTCAAGGCTATAGAACCCAGTCTGTCCTGCTATTTACCCATATATATATATATATATATATAGCCCCATGCATGTCAGTAAAGACACAAGGGGTTACTGTGTGGGGAGGACTTAGGAACAGAAACATTAACGAAGAGCAGAATGAGAAGAGAGTAATCATGAGGATAATAGATAATGATTGACATTGCATTTAAATTTTTGCAAATTAAACTTGGCTGGAAATGCAATGAGATATTAATATCAGAAGAATATCCCTCTCAGTAGTATTTTGTTACTAATGCAAACTCTTTGAAAGGCTTTGTATCAAATTGCTCCTATAGATACTACTTTTTGAAATAATGAAAAGTAAGTTACATTAACATAATCTTTGAAAGATTTTGGGTATATGCTTGAATGAAATTACTTAATTTTCCATTTTTTTTAAGTCCGTTGCTGAAAAAAATATTCTTGCTTTTTAATTGACTTGATTGGTGATTTCATCTCTGGTGAAATGTAAATAGCAGCTGATTAACAAAATTCATCCATGCAAGAGTTACCTCCCTTGAACTAGCAATGTCGCGTCTGAGGTGTCCGTCTTTGTCATATGAGCTATAATCCTCGGTGAGTCAGGATGGTCGGCTCTGTAGCTTAATGGACATTGTCATGAAAACACTTAAGAAAAACCGCCTTGGGTATGATACTAATCTTGTCCTTAGTAATTCTATATTTGGGTTTGTTTGAATATTATTAATAGTATTAATTTTTTGACCAACTAAATCAGTTATAAATTTTGATTTATTTAGATTCATAATAAAAACGGTCATGTTTTAGTTCTTTGATTACCATGTTTTGTGTGTGTGTGTTTTTTTTATTTTTATTTTTTTTTTTTTTTTTTTTTTAGGCTCTGTGAGAAGTTTGCTGTTCACTCTCAGCTGAAGAAAGCCCATGACTTAAAGGAACTGACAGACAAATTCCTTGCTGCGCCATTATTTGAGCAGAAAAATTTTGGTCATGTAAGTATAGCCATCAGAATAAGGCTTTTTTTCTTTTCTTTTTTTTCTTTATATATATATATATATATATATATACACACATGCTTGTCACTATTTGGGCTGATAACCACATCTTTTTTGCAGCCACCTCCAGATCCATTGCCGGACCACCATGACTGTACCTCTTGGCTTATGACATCTATTAACTTGACCTGCATGTAGACGCATAGAGGTCACGTTCTCAGATTTGAACTTGAATAGGAGTTACATAGGATGTTAAAGAAATCTTGCATCTCCCTCCTCCAAAAATTTCCTGATTGTTACCTAAATCAATAAATAGTGGTAGATTAAGTTCCTTTAGGAATAGCTCAGTTTGTTGTATACAAAGTATTAGAACATTCAAAGTTGAAATAAAAACTAGTGTATTATTAAATTATTTCTTTTCTGGATCTCTAATTAATGGTTTCTGATATTGATTCTATATAAACACTGGTGATCAGTTTTTTCTGTAAGCTTTGTGGCTAGAGACCAGATGAAAATTATTCTGTAGGAATCCTTCTACTCTGTTTTTCGTTGAATGTTAAAATTTGGAGTATCGGGATTCAATACATTAACAAAATATCGTTACAGGGTTGCTCGTAATTTGGCCGTCTAGAATAATCAAACGCTTTTCATTGAAGGAATAAAATTCAGTAGAAAAGACGACATAGTTTCAACAAATAAACATTGATTTAATATAACGATAGGAATACAAAAAGTTGATAAGAGATTGGAAAGTAATGTCTTTTGTTTGGGTTGATAAGTTCTGGAATAAAAAATAAACTGTCTTTGTGTACGTGTGTGAGAAACAATAAAATGTTGTGATATGTGTGTTTTGTATGAAAAAGTCAACGTGTGTGTGCGTGATTCATAATAAAAACGGATACTAGAGATACAAATTGTTTTTTACTGTTGGCGGTGTTGCCGTGGTCTGGAGTTTGTTAACGCTGTCGTTTTTGACATGAGGTCATGAAGGTCATCAGCGAGAGGTGTGTGTAGCTTGCTGGCAGCCGCGTGTATATTGTTTTGGGAACGGATTTCATATGTTTTTATACACTTTTTCCGAACAATATCAGCTCCAGAATTAAATTATTTATTTATTTCTAATTGGCCCTAAGAAGTCACGTGGTAGGTCTTCTACTACGTGCGTACGATATTTGGTCGGTATCTACCTAAAAATAATTATGACTAATACAACAAACATTCTGATTTGTAATCTATTATTTTATTGGTGTGTTTTAAGATGTAAGTGTTTTCTTGAGTGTGATTGGTTTATAAATATTGTAGTTGATATTTTAGTGGAGACGACAATTCCATGAGCTAAAATTTTGAAAGATTCAGATAAAGAAAAAAAAATGGTTCCATTCAACCTTTTCTAAACCTTGAACAATAATAATTAATAAAAGTAGTGAGAATTTGTATGAGAATTTTTATGCCAAACAATAGAATATGCAATTTTTTTTATTTTATCTAAATGTAATAAAGAAAGAAAATATAGGATTAAATAATAATGAATCATAACATAGAAATATCAATACCTTCAATAAATTGTTCCTTTTTTTTTTTATACATTTTTCCTTATGAGTAAGTGATTTGCATTATAAACTTTAGGCAGAAAAATAAATGATTCTCAAGAATAAAAATATTTTCTGCACACACTGTTTCTTCAGTTGCTCACAGGTTTTTTTTATTTATAGAAACATTGAGGTAGACTGCATACTACAAAATAAACATTGCAGTAGACAGGGCATGCTACAATAGAAAGATTGTGTTTGACCACATATTACAATAGTGTCAGCTATGTATTTACTATATATTAAATCCTATTTCATTTTTGCCAAGTTTACTTGTCCTGAGTATGACGATAAACTACATCTGGCAGCAAGGCTTTTGATCTGGAGATTTTGACAAACATGGAACCACTATCTTAACTGCTATTGTTCCCAGGTCCACCCTGACCTGAGGTGATAGCACTTGTTAGGTTCCTAGCTATAGGCAATTAATCAACTCCAAAACTACAGTCAAAACACTATGAAAGTATAAACATTTTCATAGTAAAATTACCAGCAATACATTTTTTGTTAAAAAAAAAAAAAAAAATTTTTTTTAAATATTACCAGCTGTACATTTTTGTAAAAGAAATCACTAATGCTCCCAAGAAAATTAAATTTCGATAATAAATGATCCATAAATGACAAACAAATATGACACATTTAAAGCTTGTTGGCACTGGACCTTAAGAGAAAAGACCGTTTATGGAATGATCCTTACAGGCCCCAAGTGAAAAGTTGTATATAACAAGTAGATTAGATTAAGAAAAGCAGCGACTGTAATGAAAAGGGATAAAAAGATATGTTAGTGCAGTAAGAGAAATAAAGTGTTTTGTTCAAAGATGCCTGAAGGTTACTGGAAGTAGCATTTATTCAATGAAGGCTGGAGAACAGATCAGTCAAAATGTTTTGTTAAAAGCAAGAAAGATGTGTGGATACTACTCTGAATAAATCACGAAAGAGTTATGTTTGAAACACTCTTGAAAGTTACCAATTGGAAAATTGTCATAAAAGCAACGGAGATGATTCCACGATCATCTTTGTTCTAAAAACGAAAAATTAATCTCCAAAAAAGTACTTTTTAAAACTGGTCATCCTGTAAACTATCATTCTCAGAACAAAGAAATGAGCTAAAAGCAACAGCCAAGGTGGTGTCCTGTGTAGAATTGTATTTTTATTTGCAATAGATTTGTTTTATATTTAAATCTAGTGTTTGTTTGCTTTCTTTCTTACAGACTGACTCCCACTATGCCATCCTAAGTTTACTGATTAATCTTGCCCAGAATCCAACCATCAAGGGAGATTTTGAATCCAAGAAAGTCATAGTTCCCGGTAAGGCTGTCTTCATCTTAGTTGCCTGTGTATTTTCATCTATATTTCACTTTCTTGTATTATGACAAGCCCAACATGAGCAATTGATGTCAATTAGAATGAAGCTAGTGTGAAATATAAGAGTGGCTATAAAATTGGTCGGATAATGTTTTCAAATAGCCTGTGTCATGCACTATAGATTTTTTTTTTTCAGTTTATAGATATAAAAAACAATGAATTTAGGACTCACTATGCCATGTTCATGGTGACAAATTATCTCTATTCCCTTCATATTCCATTGGTAAGATTGGAAGAGTCACTCAGTTTCTTTGCTGGAACTGTTGCTTTGCACAACAGACTCCCAAGGGGATGCTTCATTGACCACTGCAATCATAAATTTAAGCATATTATTTAAACTTATGTATAACAATCATCTGCATAAATTATGTATGCAGATGGCACAGTGTTGATAGTGGACATGGAAAGGAAATTACAGGAGCTCCTACAGAAGCTAGGAAAGCAAGAAGAAAAGACTAAGTATAAACTACAAGAAGACAGAATGCATGGTTATCAGCAAAAGGATGAGCCCGAAATGCAAATTACAGATCAGGGATACTAAAATCAAACATGTACAAAAACTTAAATATCTGGGAAGTGTTCTAACAGAGGATGCAAAGTGCAAAACTAATATCCGAAGACATATTGTGATGGCCAAAGATGTATTCCAAAAGCTAAGCAGAGTATTAAGAGACAGAAAAATTTCATTACAAAGAAAGAAAAGAGTATTCATCCTCCTGTATGGCAGCAAATGCTAGACAATCTCCTCAAAGATGAAGACTTGAAACAGCAGAAATCTGCTTCTACATAAAAATGCTTGAGAATACTATGGACCAAACGTGTAAGCAATAAGGGAGAGGAAGATGTGGAGGGCTATGAACGCCCACGTCCTGAAGGGACATGGCATATAAAAGATGTACAACAGTAAAAGAGTTAATTTACTCCTTGCTAATCAATTATATTACAAACATAAATCATATTAAATAATGTAAATAATAATGATCAAATTATTAAAGTAATGAAAAGTTAAATGGGATCTTTTTTTTTTGCATTATGATTGATGAACAAGTGTGGATTGGGTTTCATAAAAAAGAAAAAAAAAAGTTGTTTGTTTATTTTATTTTTTTATTCCTGTAACATTTCATGTTTGTCTTTCATAAAACACTTCTGTCATCACTATGCTAGGGCATTCCTTAATATCTCACCATTTTAAATTCAACTGAAGAAAGTAATAAATTCCTTTTTTACCCACACCCCGACTTGTTTTTCAGAAGAGGAAGAAGGCTTTGACTGGACCAGTTACTTAATGGAAGGTGTGGATGTCTACCGAGGACCATATCCAGATTCTCCTGTAAGTTGATACTTTATTTTTCACCATTTGTCAGCATTATTCACTTGTATCAAGAAAGTGGAAACTTTTGTTTCTTTAGCCCAGGGGTCAGCAACCTTTTGGAGAGAGTGGGCCTGACAGAAATGCAGTGTCTCAGAGGAGGGCCATGATATCAAATGTATTATAATAAATTGTCTAGAAAGCTGCCATAGTCTGGAGGTTTAAAGAAAAAAACAACAAAGTTAATGTTATTTAAACATAGTTCCTTATTTTAGTGCAGAAATAACAGGATAACAACTAACAGAAACAACAAAATATGCAAATTCTTTGCTACGGTTAATTTGGAGGGGGGGTGAACAAAAATCATTTGCGGGCGGATGTGGCCAACCCCTGCTCTAGCCTTTTGTCAAAGAAATCCTGGAGAGAAGGAGATTTTATATTGTATAAACCAGGCATTTTTCAATTTTCAACCTTCTTTGAGCATTTTTTTGATTTTCAACCTTTTTCAAGCAGTTAACTGCGCCACACTACTAAAAAGATTCAAAGTAATACCTCTGTTATTTTCACAACAGGAAATTATCTAAACATCTGCCTTTTGAAATGGGGAAAGGTTTTTGTTGTTTTCTTTTTTTTTGTTGTGATTGTGATTTTTTTTTTTTCATTAGAAAATTAAAATTTTGTAATAATATTATTACTACTGACAGTGTGATTAACACACATGCTACTGCTTGAGATTTGTTTCTAATTTATTCAAAAAATATTTTTTTAAATAAAAAAAAAAAAAGTATTTATTTTTGCTCCAGAGGAAGAAAACTTATGAACGTTTTCTAAAGGGAAAAGTTTTTACAAATAGACTTCCTTAGCAAAAATTACCAATGGTGAAAATGTGACCTTCAACAAAGGCTTATGAAATTCAAGAAACTACTTATTAAAATCCCCCAACACGCAATATAATGATAAATGCATGATAAAACAGATTGTAGTGTACACTATATCGTTATACTGGTTATGAAATAGTGCTAAGTATGAGTTTATAACACGAATGTTAGGGACAAAGATTTCATGGCCTCTTGAATATATATATATACACACACATTGACAGCTAGCAACGTAAGTTTCATAAAGATATATAACTAATGTCCATGCTAGCAGAAGTTTTAAGATATTTGAAGTAGTGTTCTCTTCCAAAACTGCAAAGATGAATCCTGAAATTTTTTTTCAGGAATGGAGTGAATCAGATGGAAGTGAGACCGACGAGCAAAGAAGTGAAATTGTCAGTGAAAAGCTGAACAGTTCCAAAACCAGTTCCATAGAATATGGCTCTCACTCGAATCAGGAGTCGATCCTCATTGATCCCCAGAGAATACAAAGCACAGAGCCGAAAGGTTATGTATGGTTGGGTCAGAACATCATACCACCATATTGGAATGGGGCCTTCCAGAAGATCCCTGAATCTCAAGGATATTATAATGTTGTCAAAGACTGGTATGTTGTTAAGCTTTAGTTGAATTTTTTTTCAATGATTTAATTTTTAATGATTTTTTTTTTTTTATTTATTTTTTAATGTGTTTTTTTTTTTACAATGATTTAATTTTTTTAATGATTTTTTTTTTTCAATGATATGTCTTTTTATGATTTAATTTTTTTAATGATGCATCGAATAGATCTTTTTTGGTTTTTTTTATCTTTTGTATAAAAATAATCTTTTTCTTTGTGTTATACATATATTAGCCCTATTTTTTTTTTTTTTTTTAATTAAAAGAGAAAATAATTTACTAAGGTGAAAATGTATAGAAAGTGCACTGATTTCTGAATCTTCCACAGTAAATTTGTCTCCAGATTCTTTCATCAATTTCACCTTTCTTAACAAATCTTGTCAAAAAGTGGGATATTTAAAATCAACTCCAATATTTTCCCTTTTTTTTTTATTTTATTTTTTTCTATTTTTAAACAAAAATAGTGTTCTTCCTATCATTTCTAGCTTTTACCAAGGTTTCTCTTTTTGCTATCCCTTCTATTCCCTGTTCTACCAACTATTTACACAAGCCCTTTACGTAGGTTACTCACTATCTACATCTGTTCCTTTTGCCTTCAATATGTCCTGTAAATGTCAAGTCAGGTTTCAGCAGGTTAATTCTGTGAGAGCAGGTGATGATTAAAGCTGAACATGGTAGTTGTGGAATAGCCATAGATTCTGTTGGCAAAAAAAAAAGCCAAATCTTCTTCTATGAGCCGTGTCCCTACAGGAGGTGGTGGGGTGGCAATCACGGCTCTCCACAACTTCTCTGTCATTTCCAGCTCTTAGCAAGGTTTCTCTTTTTACTATCCTTCCCATTCCTTGTTCTGCCATCTATGCACAAGCTCATTATATAGGTTATGGGCTGCTTTCCTCTCTCCCTCTGAACTTCTATATGTATTGTGAGAGTTAAATTCTCTAAGCCCACTTTCCTCATCATGTATCTCTTTCCATTTTCCTTAAAACTTCCTTGTCACTCAATTGCTTAGTCTATAGTACTCTGAGCAGCCTTCTGTAGAACCACATATCTGTTGCCTCAAGTCTCTTCATCTGTGAGGAGATTGTCCAGCATTCACTGCCATATAGGAAGACTGATATTACATAACAATTCAGTACTCTTCTTTGTTTTTAAGCTAATGTTCCTATGTCTTATTACTTTGCTTAGCTTTTGGAAAGCATCTTTTCAATATTCCAAAATGCCTTACCAGGTTCAAATACAGGCAATGATTAATACAGTTGTGATTATTGCTTTATTCATATTATCAAATAAAAAATAAAAACCTTTGAGTCCGTCCATATATTGATGTTAAGGAATATTTTTTTTATATGTAGGTTCCCAACACTATGACATGGCTTCCTTCTGTCTTTTCTATAAATATTTTCATGGCAATTTCCTCCTTGGTGCCTTGACTGCATGAATTTAAGCATACTACTAGATTGCCGTTTTACTGTTGATCTAGCTGTGACTATATGTTTTATTCTAATAGTTTCTTTTCTCACACTTCTTGCTTGTGGAACTCTGTTCAGGATTCTTGCTTCTCTGCCACCTACAATCTTCAAAAATTTTAATGCAGTGCTAATCACCATATTCTATTTTCCTTAATTCTGTTTTTGTATTGTCCTTTTTCCTCACTAAAGTTTTCTCTTTCACTCCAAGTAACCTCTTGCATCTTAGTGGCATTATTGCCTTGTTTGGGGTGAAATGATTTCTTTGGGAAAAAAAAAAAGTAAAAAACAGTTCAGGCGATGTTAAATGAGATAAATGTTCTGTTAAAAATATTATTTCTCAAAACTTTGAGATGCTCTTTCCTGCTGTCTTGGTAATTCTTAAATTTGATGGATTACTGAATAGATTAAATTATTTGAATGGTTTTACCAAACGTTATTATTCTCTAATTATTTAATGGCCAATCCCTGTCGTAGACTCCTGCTCAGACACATTTGTGTTTGTTGAACACCCACTGCAACTATACTGAGCAGACCTTAGTTACAGTTTCTTGGAGAGTGCACATCATCTGGCATAATCAGCAGTTTGAACAACGTCCATACCCTCAAACCCTCAATTATGATGCCTGTTGACTTTGTTCTACTACAACCATTGACAGCTTCCGAACAGTTTTTTTTTTTTTTTTTTTTTTCTGGTGCCCTTGTAGAATAACAAAAACTTCAGGGGAACACTTTAAATTTTAATAAAAAAAATTATTCATGAAATTTGAAAATCTGAAATTTCGGTTTAGAATTTCCAAAGATTAGCGATACAGTTTTCATTTAATGGGATTTATGAGAAATCTGCTATTTTTATAGAGGCCGATAATGACTGATTTAAATCTCTTGAGGAAGGCAAAAGGGAAAGGATTATCCACTCCTTCTATTCACATAAAAACTATCTTTCCCAATAAACAAATACTCTGGTACAAGGCTACAGCAGCGAGATACTCAGATAAAGCCGAATAGACTGTTCATGTCCTGCGAGATAAGCTAGCTTAACGTTTATTTTCCACACTATGAAGACATTGTTGACTTGTTCAATGCCCATGTTATGGATGATCTAAGGGAAATAATTCTGTCATAACTCTTGATTATTACTAACATTATTATTTACAGACTGTCATATATTTCGTGACGATTTTTTTTTTTTTTTTTTTTTTTAGGTTTTTAAAATTTTGAATTAATTCATTGCAAATTGATCCCCCTCCAAAATTTAAAATAAAATATACTCATACCATGTAATTTTGAAAAAATGTAATTAAAAATGATTGAAATTTGTGGTTGTTTTTTCTTATATTACTATGAATTAAGCATTCCAAATTATAAATTTAAAAAAGAAATTTACATCTTAAGAAATATTGTATATTTTGTTTTGGCTTTCGTGGGGGGGATCAATTTAAAAAGAATTTACATCGCAAACTGAACCCCCTGTTAATATAAAATATTTCATAAAATTGAAAAAATATTTTTTTGTTCATATTCATGATCTAGAGTACTTAATATGGTAAGATGAAAAAATTTGAAAGAAAACATTTTTATTTCTGGACACAGTTCTATGACTCCGCCAAATTCCAAATAATCCAGATGCTTCATGGATTTAACTGAAACATCTCTTGAGAGAAAATAAATTGCTTTTGTCACATCTGATGATTTGTACCGTTTATTGCCTATTTGCATGTTTTTTTTTTTTTTCTTGTTTTTTTCAGTTAACTCAGACATTCATGAGTCTATCAATCCATGGTCCTGCATCAAGGTTGAAAGTTCATGAGGGAGGGATTCTGTTTCATAACATAGGTTGTCAATTAGGTGGTTGCTGAGCAACCAACTTGTCTTGCTTCTATGGCTAGGCGTCCAGAACAGTAGTTCGCTTGCAAGTTCTTGTTCTCTTCAGCAGCAGTGTCCTGTAAAGTGAATTCTGCATTCATCTAAGATTGTAGAAATATCAAGGATGGTCTTCTCTATTTTAAGGAATAATAACCAAACAATTCTTTTTCTTCTTTTTTTTTTTCTTTGATAGATTGTTAAATCTTATTTCATAAGATAAAATAAAAATAACTCTACTAATAGCTCAAAGGAATCTGACTCTTCTAGATGTCTCAGTTATCTCCCTTTAATTCAACTCTCCAAATTTTTGTTCACCACTGCAGTAACTCGGTATTGAACTCGCAACTCTTTGGGTCAAGTCACTAGATCCAACCAACACTTTTATTCACTGAGACATCCAGAAGAGGCATGGCACATGGAACTAGAACAATCTACTCCGGTGGACAAAATAAAGGGTTCAGTTTGAAATTTCAATCACCTGAAGAAGGCTAGAGCATACAACAGCTAAAACGTTGTGAACATGACAACAAAGATGAGTACAACAGTCTGAAAAATGTAAATAATTACAGTACCTCATCTCAGAAATATAGACTGAGATAATGTATTTGTTATGACATATTTAAATGCAATCTCTGTATTTTAAAAGTATCCATCTTCTACAATTTTTTGCAATTATTTGCTATCATCATGATCATAATTCTGTGAACTCTTTGCTTTCAGGAATTGTTATGAGACCAAAATAAATCCCTTATTAACATGTGCTCCCAAAACGATTATAACAGAGACACAGGTTATACGAGAGACTCTGTGGTAAGTAGGATTGTTGTCTTCTTTCCCCACTCCTGGTTCCTTCAGAGACTGTTGTGGAAAATTGTTCAAGCATGGGACAGTTTTGTTGCCAAGATATTCTCTTGCTTAACAGGTTTCCTTTTTTTTTTTTTTTCCATATTGACCTTTTAGCACTTAGTTTGCCAAACAAAATATTTGTCCCCTCACTGCAAGCAATGCCAGTTGCCGAATAATAGTGTATTTGAATTTTTTTGATGGTGGTGTCATGTCCTGATATGGTAATCAACTAAAAGGACCTTGACTGAAATAAACAACAAGACTACTACAACTGAGAGATTGTCATATAGAGGGGGAAGATATATTAGGGTATTCTGAAAGTAATTATGTTTTACTAGAGAGAATATAAAAACAAATGTAAGTTGAATGTATTTAAATGTTATTTATCAAAAATGTAATCTCCTTCATTTTTAATGAATGCAATGAAAGGCAAATTTTCAATTCCACAAAAAAAGTTTGAAAGGCTGTTTTCAACTTCTTTTGTTTATGAATATTCTGCCACTTATGTTCTAATGATCAAAATAAAACAAAAATCTGTAGGTGCCAAAAATGGTGAGTGTAGCAAATGTAGATGGACCTTCATTCTAACAATCTTATTTTTTCTTGGGTTTGTTTTGCAGAGTGTGCCTTTACATTGGAAAATAGCACCTTTTCTGTTTACCAAAGCAAAACCCTTTTGATATCATGCTTTGTTTACCTGATCAAGTTGCTTCATAGAAGAAATTATAAACTAATTCTAGACACGGTTTCCTATCATTCAACCTTCGTTCCACCATCGTTGGCTGACTCTTAATTCATAGTAGTGAAATACGTAATTAATTTCCGAACACTGATTCCTGTATGATTACCAAAGTTAAGCAATGTCAAGCCTTGTCAGTAACTAGATAGGTGACTGCTTGGGAATACCATGTGCTGTAATCCTGGATGTGCAGGTGGTGTAATAGGTAATGGCTCAGAATTGTTAATCAGAGAGCAGAGTTCCAATCCTCATTGGTTTCATTATATTTACTTATGCATAAATAGCCTTGGCAAAGTTATCGATCCACCTATTTTCTCCCTAGCTATGGGTTAATTAGTGAGACTTGTTGCACTAAACCATTATTATCTTAAAAAAAAAATGAAGGAATTTTTACAAATTAAAAATCTTTTCTGGTTTTAAATAATCTGTAAAGTTGATAAACTATCAAATACAAATCAATCAATCAAGAAGAAATGATAGGAAACTGACTCTCAAACTAGTCTATCATTCAACCTTGGTTCTGTCTTGGTTGACTGACTTGTAAATTATAGCCATGAAATAGATAATTACTTTCCAAATGCTCTTAATAGAATAAATGATAAACTCTAGATGCAGTTTCCTACCATTCAACCTTGGTTCTGTCTTCGTGAACTGACTTATAATTCATAGTCTTGAAATACATAATTACTTTCCAGACACCTTTAATATTAATATGTATGCAGGTAGATATAGTATTAACAATTAAGAAAGATTATGTACAACTTTCAAAGCAACAACTATTAGAGTGAAAGTGGAATGACTAAAATAAGTGGTTGTTATCTTTTTTTTTTTTTATTTATGAATTTTCACTGCTGACCTTCATTACTTTATTGAGATCAAAATGTAGATAACATTTGGTTTGTACTTTCACATTAGATGATATATGCATTGACATTGTGTATTTCCTCTTTATAGGATGTTGCAAGGCATTTCCGAATTGTTTGTGTATGAACGTGCTGGCATTGTCTATCACCTGAGGGATAATGTCTGTTTATCTCACCTGACACAGGTTTGTACAACTAGTCATTGATGTTATTTTTAATTAGTTTTTATAAAAATGTCATTTTTTTTTTCCACCTCCAAATAATTTTGAAAAAAAAAAAAAATAATAATGACAGTTCTATTTGGAATATCTCCAGTTGCTATAAGCCAACAAATACCCTGTCGGCAAGGATTAGAATATAACAGCTGCCCCCCCCCGTAGACTCTCGTATATACCAGACCTATGCTTATCTTTATTCATTCTGTGTAAACCGATAAACTACATCCAACAGCAAGACCTCTGATCAGGAGTTTTTGAGGAGCATAGAATCACCTCTTAATTGCTGGTGTTCCCAGATCCACCCTGACTATGGGCAAATAGTTAACCCCCAAACTGAGATAAAAAGCATTATGAAAGTGTAAAATAAGGTTTTAATACCAGAAATACTTTGTAAAAAACATTATTACCAGAAATAAATTTTTGAAGAAAAAAAAAATATTACCAGCAATACATTTTTGGAAAAAAAAAAAATATTACTAGCAATACATTTTTAAAATAATATTACCAGCTATACATTTTACCAGAAATAGATTTTTGACAAAATGAAAATATTACCTGGAAAAAAAAGTTATCAGCATTAAATAAATCATTGAGGTTGATATACCGTAAAACAAACCAAACAAACATTTTTGAAAGAAAAATGTTGCCAGAAATAGATTTTTGACAAAACAAAATATTACCAGCAATAAAAATTTTGTCAGCATTAAATAACCCATTAAAACAAACTAAACAAAACTAATCCTGTGTAAACCAGACGACCAATATCTATTAATTCAATGTGTTTTTTGTCCACCCACCTATATTCAACATTAAATAATTTTTTGTGTTATCTTGCCAATTTTTTGTTTTTATGATCTCTGTTAGAAACAAAGAAAAGAAAGAAAAAAACTGTTATGTGGTATGACAGAAAATGCTGGACAATCTCCTCAAAGATGAAGAAGAAACTTGAAGCAACAGAAATGTGGTTCTGCAAAGTGATACTGTGGGATACCATGGACCAAACATGTGAGCAATGATGCACCTTTAGAGAAAATGGAAATAAAAAGGAAACTTACACTTATCAGGAAGAGACAGTTGAAATTTCTAGGGCACATAATGAGGAAAGAGGGCTTGGAAATTTGATACTCACAGGACAGATTGAAGGCAAGAATGACAGAGGAAAACAATTCATAGCCTACTTAATGAATTTGAGTAAATAGATGGTGGAAAACGGTTTAGGAGAAATAGCAAGCAACAAAATTTATTAAGAACTACAAAGGACAGGAAATTGTGGAGAGCCATGATCACCTACATCCTTAAGGGATATGGCACATAGAAGAAAATTATCTCTTTAAATTTTTCTCAGTTATCAGATTTGTGTTCCTATCAATCAATAGCAATTTTTTAATATTGTTCACCAGATAAAGGCCCAAGAGCTACTCAAGGTAGAGAGTTACTGAATAGGGTTGTTGAAAGTAAACAACAGTTCACTCAAGACTTGAAGAGTGATTAGGAAAGTGTCCGCTTGGGAATCTGTTCCACAAAGTAGCGTTTCTTGGAAGGAAACTGTCCAAATGGAACTTGCTTCTTGCCAATGGAATGAGGATGATTTGAATCTGTATAAATAGCATGATGGATCTCAGCTATAAAGGTCTAACCTAACCCAATCTAATAAGCTAACAAGTCAGAGCAGATGTCATGTATTATGAAACTAGTTTATGATACCTACATAGATACATACATAGTCATGTTTTTTTTTTTTTCTTTGTTGAGGCAGAACCAAGATCAGTGTCACACATAGTAAGGTGGGTCCTGCTTAACATAGGGCCACTGTCATAATGATTTGAGGTTAGGTTTTACAAGGCTAATTGCTCATCCTAATGTCCAACTCAGACACTGTAGTCCAAGTACACAGAGTGTTTTTATTGAACAACAATCTCTAGGAAGGTTGCTATTTGAGGCTTGAAACCCCATCCTTAACCATATATATGGAGTAGTGGATAGTGGCTCAGATTGAGGAATTGGAGAGCTGAGTTCAAATTCCAGTTGAATCCATTACATTCACTTACGTGCTAATACCCTTGGGAAAGTTATTAATCCTCTTCTTCCTCCAGCTATGGGTAAATAGCAGGACAGACTGGGTTCTATAGCCTTGGATGGCAACTGATCTAGGAGGAGGACAATTCCGAATTCAAAAACTGCAGAGGGGATGTTTGGGGACCTTGTGGCACATAGTGCACCAGGTCTCTGTATTCAGCCCTTCCAAAAGTGTGGTTGATTCTGACAAAGCCTTCACCACTATCACCAAATCATGTGCTGGTGTCTGGGCTGTCACTTCCTAGGAACTCAGCTGCTTGACCCTCATACATTGAATATGACGGGAGAGTCCACCATATATATATATATATATATATATATATATATATATATATATATATATATATTTCAAATGTTATTTTTAGTAGATACCTGTATTTGCTCCATTTATTTTAAACAGTATTTATTTCACCTGCCAGCTTGTGTACTCGAAAAAACTTAATGAAAAATTGAATTGAGTTACAGTGCTTTAAATTCAAAATTGAACCTGACTTTATTGTGAAGCTCTTTATAGTTGAGAAGTAAAATGCATGCACACACATGTTGGCTTCTGTAAAAAGCTCAGCCACCCTTTGGCAACAAGTATAATTTATTAACCAAATAGAAAAAGCATTCAATAGGATGTGAGCTGATGCCAAAAATGTTATTGTGTCTTTAGTATGGAAATGCATATTTCATGAATGAAAGATGTCAAAATGTTGATCCATATGCAAGAATGTGTTTGTGAAATATTAATCAGTGGCATACCTAGGAATGTAAAAAGTAGATTTTTGGATCACTGTCTATCCTCATGGAAGAATTAGTCATAGCTCACTTTTGCCAAGTGTTAGTCTTGGTGCAAGAAACTAAAAATTATTTAAAGTAATGATGAATGAATGGAAATGCCATAGTAACATTAACCCATTAATGTCCGCAGTAACCAAAATGAGGTGGTGGGCATTTACGAGTTCTAAATAGAAACCTATAAATAATACTGATACTTTTAGTAACTTAATTCTTATTGTCTTTTTTTTTTTTAATTTTAGAAACCTATAAGTAATACCCGATTTTTATTTAAATTTTATAATTCCAGTTTTTATGGTCTCTAAGTGTTATTGCTAGTATGTAACCCAGTACTATCTTCTGCATTGTTGGGTCATATTAATCCCCCATGATTTGATGAAGAGGAGTGACTAGATATCAAGCAGCATTAAAAAAAAAAAAAAAATAACATTCCAGATAATAATGATGTTAACATGTTTTATCAACAGTTTCAAAAACATTGTCACCAGGTTGCTGAAAATGCTGCAGTCCACATAGTTGACATCTTCTGCATATTCGGCTCATGAATTATAAAAACCCAGCACACATTCTCTGCATATCGCTAGCGTCTTAACACTTCTTTTGGTCAAAATTAGGTCACGAGAATGATCAACAATTTCAGAAGCTGAAGCTATTTAAATTAAAGACTCTCAAAAAATCCAGACTGGTAAATGAAAATTATACTGTTTAAAAACGGAGACATCTACTCAAATATGTATATCCGCTAAATATAATGTCTATATTAATAAGCCACATCTGGTCAAGTGCTTTTGCATGTAGCCAAAGAATAATGTGCAATGTTATTGGTCCTTACCTGGCATCTCAGCTTCAGTCATTTTACCACCGCTGTAATGTAGCTTCCCTCTGCATTTTCTGGAAATATTTTCATGGCATGGTCCTTAGTGCTTTTTTCACTGGTACTTCAACTTTACAAATTTGAGCACAGTACTAGATTGGCAGCTAGGTCTCATCATTCGAAATTGCTAGACATAACAATAAGTTCAATGCTAACAGTTTTTTTCTCTTGCACATTTCACTTGTAGAACTCTATTCTGACTTCATGCTTTCCAGTCAAATTTGATCTTCAAAAATTTAAATGCAGTTTCATTTGTTATCTTCTGTCTCCTTGAAACCTTTTCTTTTATTGTCCTTTCTCCTTAATAATGATTTTTTTCAGATTCTCTCTTAGTAACACTTTGCATCTTAGTGGCTTTATCACCTTGCTTGAGGTAAAATTATATATATATATATATATATATGTGTGTGTGTGTGTGGACACTGAAGTCAACACCAAGCAACAACAGTTGATTGCATGCTTGAATGTAATCTTTGACCTGAAGATCGCATTCAAGCATGAAACAGACCATCACCACTAACTGTTGACCTCAGTGTCCACTTTTTATGTTTACATATGCTCTATCCCTGTCACTGAGCACTTTTACTCATGAATATATCATACCTTAAAACTATATTTTTATCATATATATATATATATATATATATATATATATATATATATATTTTATAAATATAAATTATTTTGTACATACACATTTTTAAGTGGAATTCTCATTTTTTTTTCTTTTTTTCAATAGTGAAATTAATGTCCACTAGCCTAGACAATAGAAAGTCTTATTAAAGAAGATATACCTTTATCCTGAGAAACCACCTTTTAACCAGGGATTTAATAAGACTTTTTGTTTAGGCTGATGTACATTAATTTCACTGTTTGAAAAAAAAAAAAAACTGATGTCCAGTCAAACACATGTATCCACTAAAATAACATTTATAAATTTGAAAGTAATGTCTGATTAAAATCTCTCTCTCTCTCTGTATGTGTATATATATATATATATATATATATATATATATATATATATATATATATATATATATATATATATATATATAATGTGTGTGTGTTTTTGTTTGTGTGTATTTGGGCAGCAATTTTTCATTTATGCACGTTGATTCTTTTTTATTTACTTTTTCAATGTATATAATCATTTTTCTGATCTCCAGTTCATTTTTACAAATATATCTTCCCATGTCTAAGCAGTTTCAGCTAACACAAGCCACACACACTGAATATTTATTTTGCTTATGTTTCTGTCCTATTTGTAAATTGCATTTGTTTAAATTATTGTATTGAGAAAAACAAACACAGGTAAGTATGTCACCTTTGGTGAGCCACCTAAATGGTTTGTTGTCTGTATCCCTTTGTAGGTGGCCTTGAAAAAGAGCCTGCAGGAATTCATGACTGCTGGAACCCTGATTTGGGAACTGGAAAGTTTTATTGAATCTGTGATCACACCTGACTTGAACCCAGATGATGCCAATGACCCCAGTGAACCAGGCTTGTCTCTCACATTCCAGGCTTTTGCCCACTCTGTTTGCAGCTTTCTTAATGAGTATAAAGCCATCTTGTCCAGTATTGAAAAGGATCTGCAGAAACAAGGTAACATTTCATTACAATGCCAACCTTTTCATAGAAAAAAAAGCAAAAATATCATTTATTAAATACTTGTTTAATTTTGTACTTACATTGTATTTATAAGATAGCAAAAGTTTTTCTTGCTTATGTTCAGTGCTTATCAAATATTAAATTAAACAAATAATATTCTAATGGGGTAAATAATAACATGTCTGGTATATCACCAGTTAATGGGTGAGTGATGGAAGAAATGAATATTATCTGTACCCCCCCCCCACCATTATGGACATTATTATATCCATGATACAATAACACCTTATTTCACAGATGGGACAGAATAGCTGAAAGGAAAAGTTTTATGCTGCATAAGTCCTGCACAAAATTATATATACATCTTGGCACTATGTTCTACAGAGAGAAACTGCAACACATGTCTATACAACAAGCAGCGTGAAAAGAGAACAAAAATATGGGTCTTGCATATAATGTGGAGGTTCTTGTGTGTTTATCTTCTATGTCAATATCAAGGAAATATTCTGTAAATGAGAAACAGCAAGTCCTGCATTTTTCCGAAATTGAGGACTCTGAACCAGGGATAGTTTCCTTTTATACCTGAGGAAGATATCTTCCCAAAAGCAAACAGTGTCATGGGCTTGTAAGTTGCACCATGTGGTAGCTGGCTGAGGAGGTAGATTTAGTCTCAACCCTCAGAGGCTAAAAAAAGCATCTGCTCAGTTTAACAGACTGGCTGCCACTTTTGTCCCTGTATAAAATGATGTAACTGAACTGACCCCTGTGACTTCATCTTGACTAAAATGGCCTTTTGTATCCCTATGATTCTATTCACCATTGAATAATTATGATTTCTAAGAAAAATGGTGAGAATTTGTGATGTAAAATAAGTTAAACATGCAAAATATATGCTTCAATTGTTTCAATGTGCTGTTCTCATCTTGCCTGTTATAGATGTTATTGTAGACATGACATTTCAACCACGTACATCAAGTGTCCATTGCTTTGGCTGATATAGGATATCTGTTAATTATCATGTTTTGTTCCAGTTTTTCACTCCCTCGTCCAGGGATTGAACTTACAACCATTAGATTACAGTAACACATATTTAACTCCTATATCCACTACACCACTATTCTGAAGGATGTTAGTGGTGTAGTTAAGGAGCCTTTATATTCAATGTCAGATAGTTTCAGCATTTTTAGTTATGGTGGGTTCTTACTGTTTTGTCATAATCTAGACAAAAATGATGTATATGTGGATGACTATTCCCATGGCTATTAAATATACACTGATTGGTATTTTCATCTTGGTTTTTATTAACTATATTGTCCCATGCAGTGATGCTGATAGGTTTTTAGTGTAGTGAGTCTCCAGGACCCACATGTGGTGATTTCAGTGGTTCTTTGGGGAAATTCAATGGATCCCAACTAAAGCTTCTTAATAAATGCCCAGTGGATAAAGACATTGGTTATATCCAGTGACTAGACCCAAAGAGTTGTGAGTTCAATACCAGGCCACAGCAGTGGTAAACCAAACTTGGAGAGTTGAGTTAAAGAGAACTGAGACATCTGGAAGAGTTATGGCACGTGGAGCTAGAACAATCTACCCCAGTGGACAAAATAAAGGGTTCGGTTCGAAATTCCAATCATCTGAAGAAGGCCTGAACGTACAACAGCTGAAATGTTGTGAATATGGCAATGAACATGAGGGTAACAGTCCGAATAATGTAAATAATAAGTTGTATTATTTAATGATGTTATTAGTCTTACATGTTTCCACTTATTTAACTATTATGACAACTGAAATAGATGCTAAAGAATTAAGTATATATCATCACACCCAGTCATAACAAATATGTCACCTTTTGTTAATAACATTTGTACTAAAAGTTTAAAAATATTTTATAATATATTTAGCATCAAAAATACAAAATGTTTAAAATTAATAAAATATCTAAGTACTAATTCCCATTAATATCTATCATAGTTCATTTGACAAATGATTCACGTTCAGTTGCAAAACAAATATAGTGATTTTCCAAGCATAGCTTAGATGTGGCACAAGGTTGAAAGTTGGGGGCACCTAGTGAGGATCAAACTCACTACTCAGTAGTAATTGTTCTAGCAAGACAAGCTTGCTAATCATTATACCGCCTCGAGGTGCCACAGTGAAAGAATATATCGGTTACATTTTAAATTAAACATGGATGCATCATTAGACTGAATGTCTTTGTTTACTTAGTATCAACAAACGCCAAATTCCTTTTTATTCTCTCATGACCGTTATGCTTTGGTTGTGTGCAATGTGTTGTTTTTCATGGGAGAATTAAGGTGCGTCCTGGGGAGCACAGATAAAAAGTTTCCTTTTAGATTGTCCTTTTAAATTTTTTTATGCATCAGGGACACACAACGTGCACCTAGCAGCATCTCTGCCCATGTTTTTTTTTTTTTCTTTTTTAATCTAGTTTTACTTAATGCCAAGCAGTTTAAATTTATCTCCCTTTCTTCACTGTAAATTACTTTGTACTCATAAACAAGCCTTTAAAAGCATTCTTTTTATATGCATTCTTGCTTTTTTTTAAAAAAGCAAGAATGCATATAAAAAGAAATCTGTAAAACGTTTACTTGTGATCATTGCCTAAAATTTGAAAAATCAACAAGACAAATATAAGACATGAAAAGAGAAAAAAAAAATAAAACCCTTTTTTGAAACAAAATTCACAAAAGACACTTTGAATTTTTTAATACCCGATAAATTTGATGATGATAAGCCTAGAACGAAAACTGTGTCAATTTGAAAGCGTATCTATCTGAAGAAATTAAGCTATAACCACGCACATGCATGCTGGAACTATCCTTTGAAAAATTGTTTTTGTTTTGTTTTTTATGGTATATTTACCGAAGGGTCACTGAGAGCAGTCATTTACAATCAGCAAACAACCTTGGTTACACATTAAACAACCCAAAACAGAGACAGGTGTTTCTCACATTGTTTCTCTCACACACACACACATACTGTTGTCAAGTAGGGTTTGCTATTTGATATAATGGAATATGCATACACCTGAGTTCCCCCTTACTGGAATATGACTGGCTGGTGTCCGTCATAAATACAGACTGATGTGTAGGTACGACAGAGTTTAAGTCTATGACGACGCCCATTGGACTACACTATTGGCTATCCTATTGGTCTACACCTATTACCTGCGACTACGACAAGCACCGGTCAGTTACTGCTACCGTGTACTAGGTTACGGTAGCTAAAACCACTTAGCTACTTCGATCAAATATTTCCCTTTCCGGGATATATCACTATAGTTAAAACTGTTAAAAATAACTGAAACCAGCAAGATTTTTAATTTCCATTTAACTTTATAGCTAACAAGGTTGACATGTACCTAGTTAGTTAATACAAATTTGATGAATGATTTGTTCTAGCATTTATCTTTGTCCAGTAAAAATTCAGTTCATTATGGCTCATGTGATCCACGTGTGGTTCCTTAAGTCCAGGGTTTTACTGTAATATGGAAAATGTGAAATTTGCATTTGGAGTAAAGCTTTCTAAGCTAGTGTGTCATAACATTTCTGTGTGATTAACTGTTCTTTATTTTATTTTTTTAATTATTTGCTAAATTTTACACTGGATTATTCCTGTTTTTAAATTCATTTTCAATTCTGTGCTGATGAAACAAATAGAAGAGGAAGGAAAATGGATGGGAAAACATTAAACAACAAAGAAAATTTAAAAAAAAATACTTAATTATCTCTATAAAAAATTAAAAAAACACAAAAAAGCCTCAAAACCAAATTATAAAGCCAAACAGAATGTGTTGATAAAGCAGAAATTACTAAATTTCCAGAGGGAAATTTGGTATCAGAAGTACCTTCCCAAAAAATGAATTGTATTGAGAACTAATGCACCATGGAAACAAAAAGATAAACTTCAAAGATCCTCATGTATACTGAGGTGTCTCAACTGGATCCATTATAGTAAAGTTGCTAATGAATATTGTATTAACTAGGCTGTTACCATTGTATGAAAATCAACTCTTTAAGTCATGCAAGGGGTTTAATGATGGTATATATGTGCTCAAACAATTCCAGGAAATTGCTTACCTCTCCACATGATCACATCAATAGAGACTTCCTCTTCTCATTTATTAGAAACTGCTTTCCAAACTCCAAATCCACTGAATCTCTAGACCTGATAGAACTGTATCACTCTCCAAAGTCATTCATGTCAGATGAGGATGCCAATACTGAAACATTCCAAACCTGATCAGGAGTACGACGAGGAAGAAATGAGAGCTTCAGTCTATTTAATCTCTTCCTAGATTATGCTCAGCGCATATATAAGCACAAATGTGAAGAGATGGGCATTGATCACTTAAACAATCTATACCATAACCTAAATGAATATATAAATAGAAAATAGTGTTCCTGCTTCCCAGCCTGAGACCAATGTACATAAGATGATGACAGCTATTCTGAGAGCATAGGCATTTATAGTTGGGACAAGAATGATTTTGAACAAAAAAATCGGCATCCTCTACCAAGTGTTCCAAAAAATAGATAAACCATTTCCATAATCAAAACCTGTGATCTGTAATGAGAATGAAAGCAGTAATGGCACCTACCCTGAATCCATCATAAAAATTTGTGATGTGGAATTAATAAATACTAAATACTTCAAATAGCACAGTCTATGGATCAGTTAAAACAAATTTAGTATAAGAGATAAGAAAATTGAACATAGATTAGGCTGTGCTAGGGGCAGTTTTTGCAAACACTGCAAATTACTACACAAAACATTGACCTAAAAACTCAAATCCTGTTCTTAAATATTCTTGTCAGATCAAGAATTTCATATGGATGACATGACACCAAACTCATTCAGAAATATATTCACTTTCAGCTATGTACAACCACTTTTTCCAATTGAGGGTTAAAAATGGCTTTGAACAAGTGAAATGTGTAGGTCTTGGCTAGGATTATTCTTCTTTGAACTGTGTGAGCTGATGTTAGAGAATCAGGAACAGAGAACTGTACCAAATAACAAAAATCACATCAGTGAGGACTTTCAAATAAAATTGGTAGCATATATAACTTGACGAGATAATAATGACATAATCAAGACGTTCCACATTAACCCAAACAAAAGGCAAAGTAGCCAGCTCCACTTAGTACTGGAAAGAGCAATAATAGCTACCAGATAACTTATTTTCCTGAAAAATATTTTCAATACAGGGTGCCCAATAAAAAATTGGTAAATTCAGAAAGATGTGAGACAACTATTGAAAACTGGTGACAACCGATATGACTGAAAAATTCAGGATGAATTTCTGCAGATTTCATCAATCCCCATGTTGAATGTTCTTTTGAAAAGTATTATAACTTGACACTCAAAGTCAGCAAGTTGTTTAGCCATACAAGAAGGACTGAACGAAAGATAAAAGTTGTCTGCAAATAACCTTTAAATGAGGAATCACAAGATCAAGCAGCAATTAATCAATCATAAAACAACCAATCAGAGTTAAGTAATTACGCAAGAGCCAAATGATTATTCAAGGTCATGAATATTCAAGAAATTTATTCAAATTTATGCAAGGTCAATTATTTCTGAAAGATAAAACAGTGATAATAAATTTGCTGCTTTTTTACTGGGCACTCTGTTGAAAGATTTTATAAATTTTAACTGATGGCAACATCAACTGCTCGATCAATGAATGCCAAATGTTTCCTTAAAATATATGTTCCTTAATATTACCATTTACTGTATTCAGGTTGGCTGACAAAACTTAATGTCACAAAAATATTTGTTTTTGAAAGTGAGTCACCAATGCTAAAAATGCTAGTGTATATATATTTTATTTTTTTATAAATTTTTCCTCTTTTTCTAGAACAGACGCACACTATTATGCAGCTGAAGGCACAACTACAGCCCTGGTTTCAGAAGCTCTTCCTGGTTCACAGTGTTTACAAGAATGGAGTCTATAAATTTCCATCTCTGAAGAGTAACAATGAGAAAGCTGCTTTGCTTTTGAGTTGTCTTTTTGACACTGTCATGGAGTTGGATTCTATAGCTCAGAAAGAATCGGTTAGTATTGTTCTAAGTAACTGTTAATCAGACTTTCTGACTTTTGACATAAATTTTCACTGTTTGGAGAAAAAAAATGGGCATGACCACGCAAGCACCTGTATCTATTAAAATAAATTTTATAGTTATATATCCATATTTTTTAATCATTTTACTCCAAGAAAGGTGATAAAGCCACTAAGACTCTAGTGCGGAAGAATGAGAAAAAAATATAAGAGAGAAAATAATGAAAGAACAGGAATTGAGATGATAACGATTGACATTGTATTTAGATTTGGAAAATCAAATTTGACTGGAAAGCAAGAAACTGGAAGAGTTTCACAAGTGTGAAGTGCGATCGAAGAAACTGTTAGCATAGAAATTATGATTACATCTAACCATTTCAACTTTAAGATGATGAGACCTAGCTGCCAATCTACTACTGCACTTACATTTGTAAAGTTGAGGTACCAAAGAGGAAAGCTCATCAGAACAATTGCCATGAAAATATTTATGGAAAAGCTACAGGTAAAGTGACTGAAGCTGATATGCCAGATCAGGATCAATAACATTACAGATTCTTCTTTGGATGTTATCAACAATCTGTAAAATACATAGCAGAAGCACCAGACCAGATGTGGCAGCAATATTCAATGCATGAATGAATGGTAGACTTATAGATATGTAAGATAGATTGCTGGTGAGAAAAATTGTATAGCACAACACAGTCAACAAACTTTCCTAGCAGTAGACCTAGCAATTGATTTAATATAATTATTCTACTTAATGTCCTTTTTGCTACACACTCACTAATGCCCTGTGTCTTAGTGACTTTATTGCCTTGCATAGGGTGAATAAAAAAAAAAATACCTTTTGGCTCAGCGCTTTGTATTCTCTGGGGATTGATGATGTTCGACTCATGATCTGAATGAGAATTATATTCTGTGGAACTGGTTTGGGAAATGTACAGTTTTTCACTGACAGTTACACTCCTTTTCTCATCAGTCTCACTCTCATCTGATACAAAATATATTTCAAAACCTCAGAGTCATTAAAATTGAACAAAAAGTAGCTGTGACAGTAGTTCTTTAGTCCTTTTGTTGGAATATGTTGACTGACTTGACTTGTATCGGTTTTCACCCTGGTCAGGTTGAACCGGCTTCCTTCCAAGCAAGTACAGCATCACGGACCATCGCTGCCCACACTTGCCGATCCTGAGCCAGGTCACACGAAATGGCGAGCCAATCGCAATTCCATCGTTGAAGATCAAACACTTGTGGACTCGATAGTACTGCTAGGTCATCCTTGATTGTGCTAGCCCACGTCCTCAGCTGCCCACCGACACGTTTTCTCCAGTCAGGAAGAGTAGGAGGGAGAAGTACATCACGGATGAGCTCTATTTCAGGATCACCAGCAGCTTTCTTATCATTTCTCTTTAATCTCGCCCAGGGTCTGTAATCTCCCTTTCAATGGCAATTTTAGCATTGAAAAAATAAACAGATAACTTTGGGGGCCAAATCCTAGCAACAGACAGAGGTTGATATACTTGGTTGATCAGATGTTATATTAAAATCCTGCACAAGGCATAAAGAATTCAATAGGTACATTGTCATGATGAATGTGAAGACCACAGAGTATGTGAGCTCACTTGATGGCATCTTACAGATGCATGGAAGAGTATCTGTTGTAAACTTTCTGGGATTCTTGATTTTTTTTCTTTGCAGATATTTACTAAGCTTACGTGCTCATTTTGTTCAATTACAACTATTTGAGAGGATTCAGATTGTGGACCTTTTAAGGATTCCTATGCACACTGATTAAATGCACATTTATACATTCATAAAACAGGTTCTGAAGGATGGCCACATTGTACAGATACACACCACGGTCAGCAGTGGCTGGCCACATGGTATCCACAACACAGATCAGAGGAAATGAAGATGATTGACACAGGCAACAATCATTTACATACAGTGGGGCGTGTCTCTGCCAATCATATCCTGAGATTTCTCCAGTTCCAATGAACAGTTCCATTTTGAATGAGGTTTCGTGCATTTGAACATCTCTTGTGTCGCAACCTTACTCCACACCTCAAATGGAACTCATGTTCAGTCTATTGCTCCAGCTGCTTTAAGAAAGTCCCTGACTCCTCCTGCCATATTTTATCTTTTCCAAGATTCAGATAAGACCAGAGTCTTTTTGCCATTTTCTGGCCTAGAGCTGTTCAATTCTTACTTTCCAGCCTTGATAGAATTCATGCCATGTTTGTGCCATCTTGTAGTTATTGCTGATGACTTATTTTCTTCTCTACAACCTTTTTACTCAGTACAGAGTCAGATCTTCAAGCTTGTCAAACGAGTAGAGAAATACAGAAATTCCATATATGCTGACAACTAAGATTATCCATTTTTACCTTTTGCTTGTATCTTCTCAGTCTCTCCCTTATCCCTTCTGATCTTCGTTGCTTTTTATCTCAATGTTACAGACATGGATTAGTTTCATATGCAAAAAAAAGAATTAAGGAATTCCCAAATATTTTCTGCCGCATTCTTTTTTTTTTTCCCCTTTTTTTTTTATTTTACCTTTCTTTGATTCTTTATCGACTAATTTACACCTTTCCGTCATTCACGCATTGTCACCTGATATACAACTAGCAAATCTGTCTCTTTATCTTTCTTTCATCACTCCCACTTTCTATAAGCACATATTATTTTAATTATGAAGAAATATAGTTTCAAGGTGTGCTATATTTATGGGATATATCAGAGATAGAGCATATATAAATATAAAAGTGAACATTGAAGTCAACACTCAGTGACGACAGGCTGTTTCATGCAGACACAATCGATTGCATCTAGCATGAAACAGCCTGTCGCCTCTGAGTGTTGACTTCAACGTTCACTTTCATATTATTTTAATTATAGATATTAAGAGTTTTCTTTTGGTTATACACACTTTATTTTTCTCAAAATTATTTTCTTTGCTTCATTCTTATTTTCCTATGCTTGGGGATACCAAGTGCTATAAGCTTAGATGCGTAATGGATAATGGCTCAGAATTGGAAATCGGAGAGCCAAGTTCCAACTCCAGTCAGGTTCATTATATTCACCTACATACCTTTTGGAAAGGTATGAATCACCACTTCTCTCCAGCTAATTAGTAAGAATTGTATCAATAAATCATTATTGTTCAAAAGATTTGTACAATATAAAAATATTATTTGGCTTTAAATAACCTGCAAAAGGTTGATAAGCCATAAAAAAACAAATCAATCACACTTATTCTCTTATGTCTAAGCATTACATTTTATTTTATTACATGTTCCCTGTGTATAAAACTTAATTTGTTCACGTATATATTTTTCAATTTTATTAAGCGTTAATTTTTTTCAAATTGAATGCTGCATTTTTAAGTAAAAGATTTCCCATAGTAACAACTTTTTCTTAGAACTTTTTTTCTTTTTCAATTATATCTTGATAATGGTCACATAAAAGGAGCAATACGTCAACAAGAAAAAATGTCCAACATCCTACCGGTTTTCATATTTTCCATCTTTACATACTTTGTTTGAATATTTAACATTCAACATCGTGCAGTGTGTGTGTGTGTGTGTGTGTGTGTGTAGAGAGAGAGAGAGAGAGATATAGTTTTAAGGTCTGCTATTGACCAGCAATTATAGTCGGTTCACCATATAACACAGATAACCTGAAGAGTAAACGTGTTCAAACCTGAAACAGACTGTCACCATTTGGTGTTGATCTCAGTGTTCACTTTTTGCGTGTGTGTGTGTGTGTGTGTGTGTGTATATATATATATATATATATATATATATATATATATATATATATATAAATAATACCAATTTGTGACTGGTAGGAATAATTCCAAGGAGGATATTAGTCCAAAGAGAGCTCAATGTAAATTACGAAGAATTATAATGATAATTCAAGGAAAAAAACATTTCTGTTACAATTTATTTCATGAATATTACTATATTCATCACTTCAAACCAAGAGTTTTTAATAAATGAAGACAATTCATCTGGAAACTTTTGGTCTGAAGAGGTGAATATAGCAATATTCATGAAATAAATTATAACTGAAATGGATCTTTAAGGTTTTTCTTGAGCTATATATATATATATATATATATATATTTCTCCTTTCACCTTGTTTTCTTTTCACTTTTCTCTAGCTTTCTCACCTTTTCCTTCATGTCCTCTCTTCCCTCCCATTTCCAAATTCTTACCTACTTAATATTATATATTTATGCTGAGAATGACTAGAGATCAGACATATACTACACTCTGATCCTAGACAGGTCAAACCTACTAGTAGAATAATTATATTTAAAATGACTGCAAATAGTTATGTTTAATTGGGGAATTATAACTTTGTAATTCTTGCGTATTGTTTACTATTCCAGTTGAGTGTGTTGATGCCTATTTGGATAGAGACCAGTCGTCCCTATATAGATATTATTGATGACTGGATCACGAATGGACGCCTTGTAGATGCTCGAGATGAATTCATTATCCAAAGGTCAGTTTTTCTTTGTCTGTTTAACCTAAAAGATCAAAGAAAAATGAATTCTGTTTGCGTTGTTTTCTATTTTTATCTATTATAAAAATTATCTGATAAAAAAGTTATTAATATTTGTTGAGAATGCAGAATCCCGTCCCCCTCTGCATGTACAGAAGATAGTGTTGTGTTGTTATTTTATCGAAAAAGAAAACGGGAAATTTCATAGCAAATGAAAATTGATGAATTTAAGCAACTCCTAAAAGTCAATAGGAACCTAATGATTTTTTTTTTTTATTTAATAATAATAATTTAGTTTGTGAATATTGTGTCCATATGAAAATGTGATAAAAAGTTATCTGATGAGTTCATTTGGGAGTGTTTTGTGAAATAAAGACATAGAAAACTCCACATCAATCAGAGGTTAGTTCTGAGTATTTATTCAGAAAAGAATTCCAAGATGTGTTTACTGCCATAATTAAGATAATAAAATGTACTCATTTTAAAATAAAACAATAATGTAAATAATGTAGATTTTGTTTTGTACATGATTTAAATTCAGACTTTTGTCCTCATTGTTATTTGTCTGTTGTGCCCCAAGGCCTTCTTCAGGTGATTGCTATGGATTCAGAAATAGATGTTCTTGTGAAATAAAGTTCTTTTTATTCTGATGATGCCATTTCATTTGCTAAACATTGTCTTCTATAGTTATCATTCTGTCAGATTCTGATACAACTTGAATCTCTATCTCTCTCTCTCTTTCACATATGCTTTTTGTTTTTTTTAACAAAAGACATGAATTTCTGGAGAGCCATGATTGTCCACATCTTGAAGGGATATGGCATGCAGTAAGAGTTTTTTTTTTTTTTTTTTTTTTTTAATTATTTCACCCCAGGCAAATCAATAAGCCACTGAGATGCAAGTGGTTACTATTTTGACTTTATAATTTTTTTAGTTTTATTTTTTCCTTAGTTTTTAAAATTTTTCTGTTATATTTAATTGAATTTATCTTTTTATAAAATTTATTGTCTTGCCTTTACTGTTTTTTTTTTTTTTCCTATTTTTCTATCTATTTTCTTCTTTTTGAGGTCCTAAACCTTTAACAGTGAATACACTGTTCTTTGAGCAACAATTAAGAACTTTATTTAATACTTTCAAGTTTGAGTTTTTTTTTTTTTTTTTTAATTGTTTGGGGTATAAAAATAAAATCTGTTATAAGTGACAAATTTGACAAATTTATCTAGAAATCATCCAGGCTTGTAATTCCTGCACTTGTTGACCATCATTGCCGCCTTTTTAACCTTCCCTACTTTTTTTGGTGGCCAGCAGGTTTTTCGACTTGGCGATATGACGCTACACTTGATTTATGAAGGCTGTTTAGTTGCAGACTAATGTTTCTGTATTAAACATATTAAAATAATAAAACCAATCCTTATGAAAGAATAAAAGAAAAACTAGACTTATCTTCTTTGTGTACCAAGTTACCATCATTTCCTATTTATTATATAGTGTGTTTGTTGTCAGACAACAAAGCATGTCTGGTAAGATAAGTTTTCCTTTTGTTTTTATTCACACACACACACACAGTGTGTGTGGGGGGGGAAGTTTTCTTGTGACATGTTTCATCCTATAGGACTTCATCAGACTAAATTTATGTTGGTGCGACTACTTATGCACATGAAATGAGGGATGTTTTTTTTTTTTTTGTTTTGTTTTTTTAATCTAGCTGATTTAATATAGATTCTTTTACTTTCTGTCACTTTTGTTAGTAGATGTCCCCCACTGATAATAAAAAGAATCTAAATGAAATTGGATAGATTTAAAAAAAAAAAAAAATTTAATTCCCAGCATCCCTCATTCATGCACATGTGTTGTCGCACCAACATAACAAATTTAGTCTGATGAAGTCCCAAAGGATGAAACGCATGACTAGAAAATTATTTCTACTCCGTTATACATTTTTCCCCAATATTGTTCTTGATATATAAAAAATATATATCATTATCTCATATATATATATATATATATATATATATATATATATATTTGAAACCGCAGGAAAGTAGTTGTTTTCTTTAAGGATCCTTTTCAGTAGAATACATTGGTAAATATTGACAGAATAACAATTCACACTGCAAGAAAAATATAAGTAGGAGAAAAAGGAACAATGACTAAAATACAAATTTATTAATAAAAATGTGTTTCACTTTTATTAAAGATTTATCAGAGAATGAGAGATGGAGAGAAAAAAAAAGAAAAAAAATTATAGTATTTTTAGTTGGATGCATTGTCTCTGCTTGAATTCAGAATGCCCCAAATTATACTAACAATGTTTTAAAATGTTGAATGCATGTGAAACCTGATTAACCAATGAAAATCAAACAAAAGTAAAAATGCCAGAATTTCTTTCTTCTTTTTCTCCATATCTCATTCTCTGATGAAGCTTTCATGAAAGTGAAATATGTTAGATTGATAAACGTTTCCTATTTGTTCTTTATCTTCTCATCTAAAAGTTGACATGAAATTTTTAAATATATTTATCCCAGTTCTTATTGTTCTACTCTACCTGCTCTTTCATGAGTCAGTCTTTCCATGTCTCGGTCCCATAAACATTTTGGAACAGTCTCTATTGTTATAACAATGATAAACACTGCTGATTATCTCCCTTGCATTAAAAGTTACTGACAAAAAATCTACATGATATATTGGTGGATTATATAGTAAGTTTATTATCTTTTGTTCAGCAAAGTATTTTACAGTTGATGAGATTTGCATGAGAGCATGTATATATTTTTAATAAGGGTATGAATACATGTTTAAATGTTTTCTGTGACCTAAAAAAAACATGCTTTAAAGTAATACTTTGAATATGAGGATGAGTAAAAAAAAGAAAAAATATCAATAATAAAACACAGGAAATAAAAATCAAAAGAAGTACATCGATGTAGTTTTTACTTAACCAATCCCTTTTCAACAAATAATCTATTGTTATTTTTTATATATATATATATATATATATATATATATATATATATAAGCAAAAATAAAATTAATGACATACAAGCACCTGCTTCAAGGACTTTTCTAAAAGGACAAATAAATCAACAGTACCTCGATCTTTTTTTCCCACTCCTGTGAACTACTGCTCTCAACAACAGACAATTTGCTTTGTGTTTTATCTTACAAAGTAAAACAAATTATATAAGGTAAATTGAGTCAATTTTGCCTGACTTGGTTGCATTCAAGCCTGGCACATTTCTTGAGCCCCTAATCAGTATCCAGTTCACTATTAGTTACTTATAAGGACACTAGCATTCTCACTGTTCCTGTGAGTACCATTGTTAGTTTTTCTGAAAATAACAAGACTAATCTAGTTGACCATTACTAATGAATCACAAGTTCAATGCTCACTGTATGCCCTATACAAAATTCAACATTAACTAACACAAGAAGAGTTGGCAATTCATAAAATCAACCAACCAGAACAAGGCTAACTGTAAGTGAGCCTAGTCTGGTTGACTATTATTAATGAGTAGTGGATTTAGTCTTCACTGGATGCTCCATACAAAATTCAACATTAAAAATCCTGACAGGTGTTCACCAAACTAACCTTTAAACTGAGTTTGTTCATTTCATCTTTTTATTTTTTATTTTTTTTTTTTTTTTTCAAACCAGTTCTTCGATAATTCTTTGATCTTCAAAATAAATATAAATTGAAGGAATAAAAAAAATTTTAAGCTCAGAATTTCAAGCTGTTTGAAGTAATACTAGTAGTATTGTTACTAATACTACTAATAATAACAATAGTAATAAGTAACCAACAAAAGAAGCATAAAGATCAGGATATTAGCCCTCATGACCAAGTGGTTGAGGTGTCAGTACATGATGTAGGAAACAAGTTTGAATTGCATCATTTTTTAAGATTTTTAGAATAATTTTTGTCCTAAATCATTAAATTTGCTATATATATGTCAAAGAATATTTAAGGAATTAATGCATTTTTTAATCTGATATTATTTCTTTTATTATAAATGTTATATTTAGTGGACATAAACATTGAAAGGTCACAATAAGAGGTGTGCATTCCTTAAATTTAACCATCCTTTGCTATGATGGCATCTTGTAGCCTAATTGGTTAAAACACACTTGGCTTAAGTGGTTTCCCTGGTGGAAAAAGGAAATACATTTGATTCCTATTGGGAGGCACATTTTTCTTTAGTCAGACTTCGGCCAGTTGATATTAATTTCACTTTTTAAAAAAATGGGAATGTCTACCTACTAATTACAACTCTTATAGTAACTAGTTTTAACTAAAAATTTACATTAACCAACTTCATGTTTTCCTAATTTAATTTTCTGATAAATCTTAATTCTTAATAGTGATTTCCATGACAATAAAATGTCCATAGAAATCCTATCGCATCATTATATATTTGAGCTTAACAACTTTAGAAAGATAGTGCAATATCAATGATAAATATGACTGCCGGTTGTTATTTTAAGAAGTGAGTAGAAATGAAAAGATTTAAAATTGACTACTTTTTTCATTTCACTGAAACAGCTGTTAAACTTCCCTTCTTTCTTTCATTTTCTCAAAGAAACAAAAGTAGCATCTTTTCTCCTCTTTCTACTCCACCAAAACGGAATAGTCCATTATTTATGAGGTAATGGCAGGACGTAAATGTCGTGTGAACTAACAAAGGGAGGGACAAGCACAATTATAATAGAATATGTCAAAGAATGTATTTAAATGTTTTGGTTTTTTTTTGTTTTTTTTTTTAAATGAAAGTGCTTATTAAAAAAAAATTGTATAGGTACTTGTGGGTCATCCATCACCACTTTTGCAACTTTTTCACAAATGCAGATGTATAAAAATATACTTGTTATTTCTTACATTATATTTCTCCAAATAACAAACATTCATTGTCTTATTCGGGTGGCATAAACACAGCAATAGTCTGTCAAATCGGTTGACTTCATTGGGTAGTTGCCTTCTCAACATGAACTCGGCCAGGTAGGTC